TTTGAGAGATTTTGGAGCTTCCACCTTTTCGGCTTCCCGACGCCCCAAGACGGCCCAAGAGGCCCCCAAGATCGCCCCAAGAGGGCCCAAGAGGCCCCCAAGAGGGCCCCAAGATGGCCCAAGAGGGCTCGAAGACGGCCCAAGAAGCCTCCAAGACGGTCCAAAAGGGCCCCAAGAACGCCCCCAAAGGGGCCCCAGAGAGGGAACACGAAACAACATTTCGAGCCCTCGGCCCTAAGAAGCCCCCACGAGGCCCCAAGAGGCCCCGAAGAGGCCCCAAGAGGCCCCCACGAGGCCCTCAGGAGGCCCCCAAGAGTCCCCCAAGCGGCCCCAGGAGGCCCCCCAAATGCCCCCCCGAGCACGCAAGCAAGTGCAAGCGATGCTACAATGTGCTCTCCTTTCGGTAGACTCCCAACGGGGCCCCTACAGACTTGCAACAAGCGTCAAGAACCTGCCCAAAAAGCACTGTCCAGGAGCGTTCACAAGTGCCGCGAAGAAGCCCTCCTTACGCCGGAAAGCCCGGAAAGCCGGGTGGGTAGGCTGTTCTTCTCACCACCGCGCCCTCTCACACAATGGTTTCCGCACGCCGCCCAGAGCGCGACAATCGGCTCATGCCCCCAGAACGCTCCAGGAGCGCGCCAAAACGGCACCGGAACGCCCCCGAAACAATCCAAGCGGCCTCAAGTCGCCGAACAATCGTTCCAAATCGCCCAAGATGACCTCAAAATTGCCGTCGAGGCCGCCAAGAAGCCCCAAGAGAGCCTCAAGAGGCCCTCCAAGACGGCCATTACAATCAAAAATCGTCCCATTCCCAGAGGAACATGTACACTTCCCGCATGAACGGCGTTTCGAGTTTCACGGCGCCTCAGACTACGCAAATAGCCCCCAACATCGCCCCGAGACAGCCCAACAATCCGCTAAAATCGGCCCAAGACGGCCCAAGATAACCCCAAGACGGCACAAGAGAGCACCAAGACCGCCCAAGAGGCACCCAAAGGAGGATTCTGCCCCTAGGAGCACCTCAGAAGCCACCAACATCCCGCCAATAAGTCCCCCAAGACGCCCCAAGAACCACCCAAGAAGCCCAACAAGAAGCCCCGATGACCCCCAAACGGCCCTTACGGGGCCTCAAGAGGCTTCAACACTGCCTCCAAGAGGTTCCCGAGACGCCTGGCAAAAGAACCCCCAAAGCGCCGCATTGACACCAGGCCCTCGGGCAAACGGCAGACATGAGACTGTATGGGCCGGCGGAATGAGCGAAGCGATTAAATAACGGCCGCGACGCCATCTCGCGAACCGAAAACGGCCAATTCACTAATCGACGTGTAAGGGTAGGAGGTCTATCCTACCCCGAACTGGGAGGTCTTCGACGGAAGGATCCGGGAGGATTGGGCCCCTCTGGGGGGCTGTTACGCAAGAGTGGGCCTCGGATTAAGCGGGATTAGGCGGGATTGAGCGGGATGAAGCCAGGTAAGCGGGAGGAGCCGGAGTAAGCCGGATTTCGAACCAGGGCGAAATCAGACGTTGACCTCCTAGGAGTTGCATCCGAAAGAAGGCGCCTGCACACCACCACCGTGCCAGGCTGGGGCCATCTTGGGCCCCGGCCTGGTGTCGACGCACTCCCCGCCGAGGCCAGGAGGGCCGGTGCACCAGACTAGGGTTGTGGATGCCATGACAATGGACACGCCAACAATCCTATCCTTGAGTTAAACATGCGTTTCAAATGTGTAAAGCATGCTCTAACAATGTTTCAAACATGTTTTTTACGTATTCAAAGCATGTCTGAAGCATGCGTCAGACCTCTGGAAATGATTTGGCAGTATGCTTCCTCGCCACTAATCGACTTCCACAAGCCTGGGGCCCAGGATGGCCCTGGCCTGGCACGGTGGTGGTGCGTGGGCGCCTTCGTCGGATGGCGAGGGCCGCGAAGAAGAGAAGCAGCGCGGGCGGCGAGCCGCCAGCCATGAGGTGGCGGCCGGCCAGGAGGGGGGCAGCTGAAGGGGCCCTGGGACACACGAATAGATACACGCAAATAGAAGGATTCCCGTATCTGTTTTGGGTATCTCTGCTATGGGATACACAAAATAGATACATTGGGAATCCCCACCCTCTGTTATAGATGCACAAAAATACCTAAGACGGTGTCTAAACACGAATAGATGCGCACGAATAATACGGGATACATACACATGAATGTTTTCTGGGTTTTTGTCTTCCCGTAGTTTCTGGGGAACCGACGATTCATTATGTGAGTGTGTTTTTGTTCCCCCTCCTGGGCAGTGGGCTTCCAGGGGGGAGAGGGCCCGGGCGCCACGCTCGTGGCAAGACCGCCGCGCGAGGCCGCAGCAGTCGGGCGCGCGATCAGCCCAGAGGGGTTACCCCAGGGTGACCACCTACTATTGGCGGCGCGCACAAGGGGGTGGGGGGAGGGGGGAGGGCTTCTTAGAAGCAGGCTGCTTCTTAGAAGGCGCCGGCCTTACATCTATAGATAAGGCCCGCGCCTTCTAAGAAGCAGGAGTGCTTCTAAGAAGCTCTCCCCCCTCCCCCCACCCCCCTCTGCGCGTGGCTGATACTAGGCCACCCCACCCCAACCCGAAGACCCGCATTTCGGCTCTGGGGGCACGGGTTGGGGGGCACGGGGTTGGGGGGCCGGGCTCCCCGACCAGCCCCCCCACCCACTACAGGGCAGTTTTTAATACATCGGATGTTTAAAAAGATTGGATTTTAATACATGATCAACTTCTGAAAAGAATTTACGCGTGAACCCATCGTCGTTTTTGATACTACATCCCTGCATGTTTAATACATGATCCGCTCGCGGAGCATGTATTAAAACCGGCACTACCGAGATGGAGGGCGACTTGGGGCCCTCAGGCTGGCTTGGGGGTGGTGTGCTGGGTGGTGGCAGAGGGCCGAAGAGCGGCAGCTCGCAGGCAGTCAGCGGCAGGAGCCGAGCGGCCAAGCCGAGAGGCCGCGGAAGAGCAGTGCCGAGGCGCGCAGACGGCGGCGGGCGGGCAGGGCCCCGCGCCGGCGCAGGGGCGCAGGCGAGCCGAGAGGGGCGGCGGCACCACGGCCAGCGCCGAGGCTGGAAGGGGCCCACGCCCGAGGCAGCCTCGCGTTGCTGCTCACGTTCCATATCTGCTCACATTTTCATGTCTGTTGTCTGGCTGGTAGTCGAAGTGTACACCCATGCCCTGCACAGGGCCGAGCAGCCGACAGGCATGCTCGCGTGGCTCGCTCGCTCGCCCGAGGCAGCCTGAGCGTCGCGCAGGGTGGGGAGGGGGGAGCCGGCGACCAGTCACTGCGTGGTGCTACGGTCGGCCTTGATCGGACAGGACACGCGCGAGGGCACAAGAGACCCTTCCGAGGGCCACATATTGCCACAGGAGTGTGAGAAGGCACGCGTCGCGAGGCACAGGGCACAAGGGGGACCCTTGAGCTGGCAGGGTCGACCTACCAATCCGGGCCGACTGTACGGCGCCATGCTTCGCAGGTGCCCCGAAGGGCCCCCTCGGCCTGTCTGACCGCGGGGCCGCCTGGCGGAGGCGCGGTGCCTGCTCCGCTCGGGCTGCTGCTCGGGGCGGTTCTCGTCGTCGGCGCTGGACCCGTCGGGCTCCAAGGGGTAGTCGTCGGTATGAAACCAGTCACTGTGATCCGACGTTACAAAAAAAATCATCGCAAACAATCACGACCAAAGCCCCCGACCCCGCTTTTCTGCGTCATGGTCCGAAGCGGATCGATCTGTGAGGGTCCTGGGGCCCGAAACTGAGCAAGAACGCCCGCTGTGAAAACACTGCGGCGCCAAGGTCTCAGAGGTTGACGCCGTCGAGAGACGTGGAGCCCAGGCTCGCGCCGCTGGCCGCGCCAGGGGACGATCTCTCCGGTGTCCGGGTCCAGCGGGGAGCTCCCGCCGTCCGCATGGACGCCTCGTGCTCGGCCTGCTCCGCGCCGCTCGCGGCCAAGGGGGTCTGGGCCAGAGGCGCACAGCAGGGGCCCCGGCCACGAGAAACCTTCCACCAGAAACCCAACCCTGAGGCCCCAGGGCGTCCGTGGAGTTTTGGCGTGGGAGCGTCGCGCCCTCCATAGCTGCTGAGCCATCGTCGAAGCCCAAGAGACCCCAGGCACCCTGGAGGCAGGCAGGGTGCCTGTTGCAACGTTGGCGATGCTGGCGCCACGGCGAAGGCAGCTCAGCGGGCCGTTGGGCGAAAGGGCTGGCAGGAGGATCTGCTGCGCTCGCGGATCCGTGGGCCGCCGCCGAGGGGGCCTCCCGTGCGCGGGGTGGGCCAGGCCTGGCACGGGGATCTCAGGCCCGCCAGGGCACGGGAGACGCGCGTGCGGCCAGGGCGCCGGCGGCGGGGGCTGGGACACGCACACGCACGCAGACACACACGCTCGCACGCACGCACGCACGCACGCAGACGCACACGCACACAAACGTACACGCAAACACACACACACACACATACACATACACACACGCTCACTCACACGCACACGCACACGCACGCACGCGCACACACACACACACACACACCACACGCTCAGTCACACACACACACACACACACACACACACGCGCGCACACACTCACGCACACACTCACACAGTCACGCATGCACACACTCACACAGTCACGCATTCACACACACACACACACACGTGCACACACACACACATACACACACACGCACACTCACGCACACACACGCGCAGACGCAGACGCAGACGCACTTGCACACACCCTGGGTGATCACCCCTCGTCCTCGCCCCCTTCTGTGGCAACTCACAGGAGCTTCCCATGTCACCTCAAGTGCTCTTGCGAGCCGACGCTAGATCGACGCTGACGTATACCAAGTTGGCGCCTCCCCATCGATGACCAAACGCCAGCGCACGCCAACATGCGAGCCAAAAGGCGGCACGTCGAGGACAGGGGGCTCCCACGAGCTGCTAGTGAAGCCCCCCTCCCTCGGCGCCCACGACAACGGCACGGGGCCGCTGGCCTTGGACAGGATCGCGATGACCTGACTACCTACCAGACCACCCCGACTTAACCCGAAGACCCAAAAATTCGGGTTGGGAGGGAGTAACGGGTTCCGGATCCACATGTGTTTTTTCGATGTTCCCCGACCCCCCCCACTGGAAATCGAATGTGAATTTGGGCCTTCGGGTTGGGTTGGGGTGGTTTGGTGGGTGGTGCATGACCCCCTCCCCATCGCGGAGGATGTCTGCGGCACACTCGTCGCTGGGCAGCTCCGCGCGGTGCCCGTTGAGCAGCCTGACCGGGTGTCCTCCTATGCAGTTCTTCTGCAGGGCGCCGTGAATCTTCGCCGCGAGGTCGCCTGTGCGACAAAACGGCGGAAGAAGAGCCGTGCTGCATCGCGGGGGGACCCTGTCTGTCCCGTTGCGCCGCGATCTGCGTAGAGTCTGCGTCGAATCCGTGCTGAGCGGATCGCAACTACCCCTCGAGTCCACGTCTGGTGCGCGTCCCATCCACGCCGACTACACCGCCGCAAGTCCGCGCCGGCCACTCGTCGGACATCAGAAAAGGCAGCACTCTACAAGACAGACGAGGTCCCCCGAGTATACAATGTAAGGAGTAGTACAAAGGGGATAAGCAGGAAGTCGATTCAATCGGACCTCACTCTGATGGTGCATCATGCTATCCCCAAGCGCGCAGCAGGTTGATAACAAACTCGAATGACCTGAAACGTTTGCGCCCCGGGCACCAGCGCGGTGGCCCCTTGCGGCATCCCGCCCGGCCCCCCCCCCCCCTGGCCCTGGCCCCCCTCCGAGGCACGTGTGTGCGCCCCATGTGGCTCGGAGCACCGACGCTGCGCGGGGCGGGTGGACACGGGCAGGCTCGGCAGACAAGGCCAGCCGTCGTGGAGCAAGGTAGATCGAAGTCACCCAACGTCGCGCCCTCGCGCCCCCGCGCTGCGCGAGTACCTTCGCGCCCTCGCGCCCTCGCGCTGGCCCCGTTGAGAAGGGCGGCCGCTCTGGCCCAGGCCGCGAAGTGCGGCCATCTTCGCGCCACCGCGGGTGACCCAGGCGACTGTGTGCAATGTTTGGGAAGAGTCCCATCCGTTCCAATTGGTGCGCTCGACTCGGCCATCGGCACCGTCCCCGTCCTAGTAAATTACACCCATTGGGCGAATGGAAGCATACATCATTGAGAAAGGGATCGGTCTCATTAAAACCTCCCCTGGCAGCACGAAGGCCCCTGAGGAAAGGAGGGAAACCATGAGGCGTGGCACGAGGGCCGATGGGAGGAGTGAGGACAGCGCAGGGAGCGGCGAGTGGGGAGGGAACAGGGAACGGAGAGCAGGAAGGCGGTGAGCAAGGCGGCCAAAGCAGGGACTTGTGTTGGATCGCGACGCTGCTAAAGCCGACGGCCTGTCAGCAGAGTGCGGCGGTGCAGCAAACTGAAAGTCAAACTAAACAGGTATGTCCTAGTCCTACTCCTGGTCCTCCTCCTCCTCCTCCTCCTCCTCCTCCTCGTCCTCGTCCTACTCCTCCTCCTCCTCCTCGTCCTCCTCCTCCTCCTCCTCCTCCTCCTCCTCCTCCTCCTCCTCCTCCTCCTCCTGGGAATGAAAGGGCCCGATACGAGTACGGGGACGGCCGCCGCCCAAGGGGCGGAGGGCGGGGTCGCCCACGCCGGCTCCGCCGTCCACGCAGACGAGGAACTTGCCTGGGGACGGGGGCCGCGCAATAAAGCCCCTGCGGCTGCCAGACGCATCCTCCCCCCCACCATCCCTCACTCGCTCCACGGGGCGGCACATGTATATATACACACCAACATGCATACGGACATCCATGCATCCGTCCATACATACAGGCATGGATGCATACATACATACATACATACGTACGTACCTACCGGTCTACCCACATACTCACCGACCTACATCCATACATGTACACAACATTGAAATAAACATACGTGATCCTGGGCTCCGGGCCCACGGGGCTCGCCTCCCCCTTGATGCGATGGGTCCCCGGGCCCCTCGGGCCCCCCCCCGATGGGATGGGGGCGGGACCACGACGACGACCACGAAGACGATGACGAAAACACCGTCTTTGGCTCCCTGAAGCACAGCAAAGCCACGCCACGCCCAGAAGGAGGCGATAACGGGGAAAACACAGTCGACGACGTTGGTTCTCCTCCCCCCTCACTCCTCCCACTACCGCACTACGCCATGCCCACAAGGGGGGGGCATTGGTGGGGGGGGCAATGGCATTAGCATGAAGAGGGGGGCCTGGGCCCATAATCATATTTGTGTCCATGTGTGTATATGTATGCTAAGCCCCACCCCTGTGATGGATATGTGCGTCCACTTTGGCAAAACAGTACCCTGCAAAACAGATCCAACGTGTAAAAAGTTGGGCGCATGGTCTGCCCATTGTGGAACTTCTTGGGTTTGGGGACCACATACTCTGAACCCGCATCATAAGGACACGGGATAAGGATGGAAAGAGCCTCGGAAGGCCATGTCGACACTTTGCGAACGGGGCGCGGCCAACAAAAGCGGCCAAGGATGGACTGAGGAGGCACGGATGCAAGGGCACCCTTAGGAAAGGTGCCCGTCCTCCTTACGCGGGTGGACTGGAATCCCCTTCCCGTCCCCTCCCGTGTCCCCCTCCCGTGGATGTCTCCTCGGCACCTGCTCCACGAAGTCGGCACCTGGGTGGCCTCAGAGGGCAGCTTCACTCATGTCCCGACCATCTGCTGGCACTGGGAAGGAGTGCGCGGTCCCCTATCCGTTGCCAAGCTGACCCCCCCCCAGGGAGCCGCAACGATTTCAAAATGGGAAAATGTCCAACACGTTGCTTTCCTCAAGCCGGACCGCGGGGAATCATCGTGGAACGCCCGAGCGCCATCGAATCGTCGCGCGCCGCCTGCCCCCGCCACTGAATCACGCGAGGCGTGCCGCGGAGGCGCGACCAACGCGGCCCCAGAGCCAGGCCGCCACATGACCGCCATGGAACTCATCGCCGCGATGACGCTTCATTCCGCAATCGTCGGGCATAGCGCCCGCGCGAATTTTGGGCGCGAGCAGCCGTCGAAGCGCAGACGGAGTCGGCGCTCGCGCGCAGCCGTCGAAAGGCCAGGTGCTGCCCCGGCCGCGCGGCCGATAGTTTGCGCAGGAGAAATACCTCCCAAGCTGATTCATGATGAAACGCGCCGGCGCGGGACCGACGGACCACGAGAAAGGGCTACTTTGGAGACCCCGCGCGAAGAAGAAACGCCCGAGCGCGAACGCCGCGAGGGGTATTGGCGGGACGCCTGGGGCGGTTGGATCTCGTGCCCGCGCAAGTTGAGCAAACTCCGCTTCTGGGGACTGGCGCTCGTGGGGCCCACCGCGGGCGCGGGGGCCGCTGGCGCAGACTCTGCCGCAACCGCGGCGAGGCGCCGGCGCTCTCCCCTGGGAGCCGCGGCGCGCGGCTGCGCTGGTGGCGGAGAAGAGGGGCCCGACGGCAAACATCGGCTTCAAAGCCTCAACGGCCGGCCGCGGGCGCGGCGGCGCAATCGCGAACCCGCCGCGCGAGGCAACGCAGCCCGCCGCGAGGGCATCCTCTCCAACCGAACGGGGGTCCCCAGGGAAGCCCCTGGCCCCCTCCCCGACCCCCCCGCCGCCTTTCTGCGGCGCCCTGCTCCCCATGGCCACGATTTTGGACACTTTTTGGGCTTCGATTTTGCGCATTGTTTTGGCCTGCCTTCCGCGGAAACATACTTTTTGACCACGATTTTTCTTACAATTAAATCAACAAGAAAAAGAAATTTGTTCAAATCGTGGGTGGTTTCGTGGGGCCATGCAAGGGGGCGCGGAATCGTGGCCGAAAATCGACGGCAAGGTTGTGTCCGAAGTCGCGGGCAAAATCGTGTCGGAAATCGTGGGCGAAATCGTGTTGCCGAAATCGTAAGCGAAATCGTGGGCGCAGAATCGCGGGCCTGCCCGGTGCGCTGGCATGCCAAGCAGGCGTGCCCGCGCAACATCAGCGACGGTAAAGAAAAAAAAACAAGAAGGGAGCGGCAGCAGCGGCAGGAAGGCCAGCAGCAGCAGCGGGAAAAGGGAAGAATGGGAAGCAGCAGCAGGAGAGGAGGAGAGAAGGAGTCGTCGAAATTGGCCCGCCCGTTCGTCGCGCGCCCCATAGCGCACTGGACATGCTTCTCGGGGGGAACTCGCTGGCCCAACGGGCCAGAGGCGCGCGAAGATCTCCGGCGACTGCCTCGCAGCATTTCTACTTCGCGCGCGCGGGGCGGCCCAGAGGGGTCCCCAGACGCAAAGTGTCCCGGCCAGGTCGGGCCAGAGATGGTTCTTCTCCCGGGCGCGGCTTTCAGGCGCCCCACAGCGATGCAAAAGGGCCCCAAGAGGCGCCCCAGACGGTCTAAGAGGGCTCCGAGTTGTCGAACGATCGGCCCGCGACACCCACGATGGCTTCCAGACGGAACACGACGTCGCGCACGAGACCCCCAAAGAGGCCACCGCGAGGAGCTGAAACGATACCCGAAAACGCGACTCTAAACTTGAAATCCGCCGATCCGGCGTGTGAGTTTCAAGGAGTCTCAGCTACAGCCTCGAGGCTGAGCCTCAGCCTCTGGGGGGGTTGCCGGGGTGCCTCTGCTGGGGAAGGGGGGATGGGGGGGGGGGTGCGAGTTTCCGGCGGATGCGGGGGGCTGCTTTTACAGAAGGCTCTAATCTCGAGGATGCGCTAAAAGGGTGGCCGCGGCCGCAAAAGTCTCAGAGGACGGTCTAAGAAAGTCCCGAGACCCCGAAAGATCGCCCGAACACGCCCAAGATGGCCCCAAGAAGGCCCAAGAACCTTCCAAGACGTCTGAAGAGGCCTCCAAGAGGCCTCCCACAGGGCCCCCAGAAGCAAAAATCGTTGATTTCCATTGATTTTTCTTGTTTTTGGGGTTGTCGTTTTTTTCTGCTTTCCGACGCTCCAAGACGACCCAAGAGGCCCCCAAGACCGCTCGAAGACGGCTCAGGAGGCCCCCAGACAGTCCCAAGACGGCCCAAGAGGGCCCCAAGGCGGCCCAAGAGCCGCCCAAGACGGCCCAAGAACCCCCCAAGACGGCCCCAAGAGGACCCAAAAGAGGTACGAAAAGCCGAAAAAATCTAGCCTTCCAGCCCACGAGGCCCCCAGGAGGCCCCAAGAGCCCCCAAGAGGGCCCCCCAAAGCCCCCAAGAAGCCCCCACGACGCCCTGACAGGCTCCTGTGCGAGTGTCTGTGCGTGGTGCGTGTCTGCGAATGTCTGTGCGTGCTAGTGTCTGGCGTGCGCCTAGTGTGTCTCTGTATGTGTGTCTGCCGTATGTGCATTTGGTCGTGTGCGTGCGTGAGGTGCCCGCGTAATATGTGTATCCGAGCGACCCGGATCGGCGGCACTGGCCGAAGGCCACTACAATAAAACTGGTAGCAGAGAGACGAGGCGGAAACAGACAGGGGGCGACACCGCTGGAATGACGCGTCGAAGCGAGATCGCGCGCAAGCCGCACGCCGAATGACCGACTTTTGAAGCGGGTCGGCGACGCACCAACTTCTGAACAATGAAAAACCGAAAAACTTCGAAATCTACTGTGTCTGGCTTCGAAAAAAAAATCGTTGCACCAATCCGCTTGGGGGACGCAGCTTCATGACTATCCGCCCTTGGCACGGGCAAGAGGGGGCGAGGAGCAGGAGGAGGAGGAGGTGGACGGGGGCACCCAGGCCCTGCCCGGCGGCCTGCTTCGGCCTCACCCTCCAGCGCGAGGACATTGAGCCTCGGGCGGGCGGCAGTGGGGGGGCGACCTCGGTGGGGGGTGAAGACAAGGACCCTGAAGGAGCCCTTGGGGGGGGTCCTGTTGGAGCCGGCAGGGCGCGTACACCTACGCATATGCAGGTGCATGCTCTGCCCAAGCGCCGTGCCAAAGGCTTGCGCATGGCTTCTGGCTCGGACTTGGAGCCAGCAGGGACCCAAAAGGGACTCTTAAGGGTCCCTTGTGGCCCGCTCTCTTCACCCCCCAGTGAGGTCGCCCCCCATTGCTGGGGAACCCAAACGTACCGATACCGCTACTCCTCGGACCTCTCCCGGGGTGCGTCCGGACCAGATTTTCGAGGCGAATCCAGCCGTGGCGACGAGGGCCCCCCAGGAAGTCGTAGAGGTATCGATATCACTTCCTTTTGGACGCCCGAAATGGGTACGGAAAAAATGGGTACAATGCCCAACAACAAATGGTGTCCCAAACAAACAGCGGCCGCTGTTGGGCAGGCGGCCTTCTGTCTCAAATGGTCACAGGCCGCGGAGGCGCGGACAGCGAGTCCTGTTCAAAATGAACAGGCACTGCTGTTGGGTATTGTACCCATTCTTTCCGTGCCCATTTCGTTCGTGCAGATTACTCATCCGAATTGCCACCCGCCCGGGAGCCGGAGCTTCTGGCCGACCCCGGTGCCCTGCGACATGGCGCAGGGGCCGCGAGGCCACGCCCGCAGGAGGGGGCTCGAGCCGCCTCCCGGCCTCCATCGCGGGGGGCGGGCCCAAGAAGGGAGGAGGAGGAGATGGAGGAGGAGGAGGAGGAGGAGGAGGAGGAGGAGAGGAGGAGGAGGGAGGAGGGAGGAGGAGGAGGAGGAGGAGGAGGAGGAGGAGGCGGAGGAGGAGGAGGAGGAGGAGGAGGAGGAGGAGGAGGAGGAGAGGAGGAGGAGGAGGGAGGAGAGGAGAGGAGGAGGAGGAGGAGGAGGAGGAGGAGGAGAGGAGGAGGAGGAGGAGGAGGGAGGAGGAGGAGGGGAGGAGGAGGAGGAGGAGGAGGAGGAGGAGGAGGAGGAGAAGGAGAGGGAGGAGGAGGAGAGGAGGAGGAGGAGGAGGGAGGGAGGAGGAGGAGGAGGGAGGAGGAGGAGGAGAAGGAGGAGGAGGAGGAAGAGAGGAGGAGGAGGAGGAGGAGAAGGAGGAGGAGGAGGAGGGGGGGGAGGAGGGGGAGGTCCTCATGCTCCACCCTAAGTCGAGGCGGGGACGAGGATAAACCAGGGTGAGGATAAGTCCAGAATCTCTGAGATCCAGTGGCTCTGGAAGACGTCTCGGGCGCCGCAGCCGTCTCAGAGCGTTCCAAAACGCTCTGAGAGCGTTCCAGAACTCTCTGAGACGGATTTATCCTTGTCCTAGCCCCATCCGACACCCACCACTCACCACTCACCATTCACCCATCATGCCAAGCATCGTCGTCATCGTTGTCCTCCCCAGCAATGTCCTTCTCATCGTCGTCACCATCGTCATCATCGTCGCTACCAGCAACATGGCAGTGCCCGCAGATGTTGCCGTCCTCGCAAGGGTCACTTCACCATCCTCACCACCATCGCAATCGCATTTGTCGTCCTCGTTGCAGCATCGTGTATGTGTTGCCAGAATTTACACAGGGCGTTCTCCTCCTATCTCCTCACATGTTCTCCTCCTCCTCCTCCTCCTCCAGCGGCGACGCTCCTTCACAGTTTCGTCGCTGTAGCGACGGCCGATCAGGCGCTTGATGTCGAACATGGTCTGCGTCGGGCGGACTGATGCCTGCCGCACCGGCAGAAGAAGGACGAGGTCGGACTGAAGGGGCCATGGGACACACAAATAAATACACACAACAGGACACACCATATTGTTCCATATTTTTTTTGATGTTCGTATTCCCCCCCACTTCCCATATTCTTGCATTCTCCTGGGAATCGACGATCAATTGTGTCTGTGTGTTTTTTCCCTCTTGATGAAGAACAGGGCGGGGAGGAAGAGCAGGGCAGAGGAGGAGACGACGGCCATGTCGAGGCGGATCGCTGCGCTTCGCCCGCCCTCCGAGGATCGCCCAAGCCCGTTGAGTGAGACCGACAGTGAGATCGATAGTGAGATCGATGCGGTGTCCCGAGGTGACCCGTGGTGTCCCGTGGTGGCCTATGGTGTCCCGTTGAGTGAGATCGACAGTGAGATCGATAGGGAGACCGACAACTAGTGAGATCGAGAAGTGCCCCGCGGTGTCCCGTGGTGTCCCGTGGTAGCCAGTGTTGTCCCGTGGTGTCCCGTTGAGTGAGATCGATAGTGAGATCGATTGAGTCAAATGTTGGTTCCCCCCCCTCTCCCCCCCCCCACAACCTCCTTATCACCCGCAGGGTGGTCGTAGAGGGATCCCAAACCCTCGATACCCGCCCTCTTCGTCTTCGACCGCACCCCCCCCCATTGGGGGCACCTCTTCCTCAACTGCCACGTGTGGTTGGCGCGGCCCCTAAAAGAGGTGGAGGAAGGGAGGATGGAAGATTACCAGCCTCGAACGTGTCCCTATCCCTAAGATCAACACGCCAAAAGGCGATGACAATCTTAGGGACTCGCCCTCAAAAACTAAAGGAATCCCTAAGATTGGCATCGTGATGAGGAGATGCCAAACATAGGGATAGCGATATGTTCCAGGCTGGTAAGAAGAGACAAGGGGGAAGGAGAAGAATGGAGCACGAGAGAGATTTGCAGAAAGGGGCCGCTTAGGACGAAGAGTGCAAACGGCAGAACCAGACGGGCGGTCGGGCGGGCGGACCTCAACGTGCGGGTCGGGCGGGCGGGCCCAGACGGCCATGTTGAGCGGACGAGCCGCCGAAATATCAACCCAACATGAACCGCGAGGAAGTCTCGAGCGACAGCGCGATTCCCAAGTGAATCGCGAGGAAGCCCAGAGCGAGAGCGTGAGCCTGGAGTGTCGAAGGCTCGGCGTCTCAGTAAACTGCGAGGAAGCACCACGCGAGAGCGCGGCCCCTGGATAAAGTGTGAAGAACTCCCGAGCGAGAGCGCAATTGTGGGAAAATGGTCAGCAAAATTCCGGCGGGAGCCGCTCTTGTAGCAGACCGAGGGCCAGGGGCATGCTCCGAGGCCCAAGACCTTCCCTTGTTAAAAATGTGCGAGCCCCAGTAGAAGAAATGTGATTGACAAAAACACACTGGGCACCGAGGGTGGGGGGTCTCCAATAGTAAATTCAACAACAACAACAACAATAACAACAACAACAACAACAACAACAACAACAACAACAACAACAACAACAACAACAACAACAACAACAACAACAACAACAACAACAACAACAACAACAACAACAACAACAACAATCACACAAGAAAAGCATAGAGCCATACGAACAAACAAACAAACAAACAAACAAACAAACAAACAACGACGCCAATGTACAAGAATCCCCATCTCCCAACCCGACCCAAAACCCACACACCCGAATCCCCCATACACCCTCTAGACCCACCACATTCGCTATCCCCATGTCCCAGCATCTCCCAACCCTCTACTCCACCCCTCTTTTCCCCCCCCCCTCCCTCCCGTTTCCTCATCCTACCCCTCCATGCACACCCCGAGTTCCTTGATAAGCGCCGGGGGGGCGTCACCCCCGCCGACAGCTCCGCACCGACCCCCGTCGCGGGCAGCCACCGCGCTCCGAAGGCGCTCCGACCCCCGTCGCGGCGCGACGACGAAGCGAGGCTGACCCCCGTCGGGGGGTACCCCCCCACTCGACGGTGGACAAACCTCCCTTTAGTAAACCTCCCCTTAGTGAAAACGGCCTGGGACCGAAACCGGCGGACCTGGACCCGCAAAAATGACGGCCGCGACGCCCTCTCGCGAACCGAAAACGGCCAATTCCTTACTCGACGTGTCAGGGTAGGAGGTCTGTCCACCCCCGACCCACGCATATGAAGAAGCCCAGGAGTGCCCTTCTCCGCATCCGGCCTTCCCGAGCCCTCCGTGCCAGACCCTGCCCCGGTGCAGTGGACGACGCGGGACTCGCGCACGGGCCTCGTTCTTGGCCGCCTCCCCGATCAGCTTGCCGCCCTGTCGCCGAGGGGAGGTGCCGCGGGAGGCAGGGACGAAGAGGGGAGGAGGCCGGGGAGGGAAATAGCGGGCCCAGGAGTACACTGGAGGGGGCGGGAGGCAGGAGGGGAGGGAAGGGGGGAGGGATTCGGGGGGGGGGGGGAGGGGAGGGAGTGCGTGAGACGGGGGGTGAGACGAGCCGCAATAGGAGCAGGAACGGGAGCCGCAACAGGAGCAGGATCCTGATCAGAAGAAGCAGTCGCAGGAGCAGCAGTAGGAGTTTGAGTAGGAACCGGATTAGATATCCCGTCTCTCCCTGCCTCTCAACCACCCCCTCCTCATACCTGATCAGCATTCCCCTCCCCTCCCCCATCACCTCTGCTGTTCCTCATCTTCCTGCTCCTCCTCCTCCTCCTCCTCCTCGCCATAATACTCTGCCTGATCCTCCACCCCTCCCCCCTCCTCCTCACCTGAAGAAGGCGACCAAGGCTGGGAATCGTCAGACCTTCGGCAATGTCGACTTTGTGAAGGCGAACGCCGTCATGCTGAGCAAGTCGCGGACCATCGGCGCCTTTGTCCTCATGTGCATGAACGGCTTGGTCGTACAAGCAGGCTGAGGCCCGAGTGCGCTCGGCTGTGGCGGCGGCTGCTTGGGCTTGGCCAGGGTGGCCTTCGTCGCTGCGGCTGTGTGCTTCTCGGGCTGTTTTTTTTGTTGTTCCTTCACCGCACGGCGCGCGGCGGTATCCGGGCGCGCGCGGCAGGCCGTGGGGCCACGGCGGTGCGTCCAGAGATGCCCTCGTGACCGCAGTGTCCTCGGGGCCGCGGAAGCGCGGGCGCCCCCCCCTCCCCGTCTACGGCCCCGCGGCTCAGTTGAAAAGGTAGCTGGAGAAGAGCACCGACAGGATGCAGATGGTGAGCAGGCCCCAGTACAGCGAAGTGCGGTTGAGGTCCACGGGCAGCATCTCCTCGTTGGGCTTGGGCTCCGGGAGCGCGCGCGACACCACGGCGGTGTGCGCCACCTCCTTCTGCACGCCAGCCAGCTTGCTGTCGGTGGCGGTGGCGCGGAGCGCGGGAGCCTGGGCGACGAAGGTCTCCTCCTGCGTGCCGCCGGGCACCAGCCAGAGGCCCACGGCCGCGAGGGCGAGGGCGCAGAGGAGGGGGCGGCGGGCGGCCATCCTGAAACGCTGAAGCTGCAGCGGCCGCGGGGCGGTGAGCTCGAGCGGAAGGCAACGGCTTGAGCCAAAATGGCTACGGATTGTGCTTCTTGGGTTGTTGGGCCCTCTCGTCGCCTCTGATGGGTGCGGCTCGTTAGCGTGGGCTGGCTGCCATGGCTCTTGCTGGCCTCAGACAGCAGGGATCGTAGCGGGCAGTCTGCTCGTCTTGCTGGGTCATCGGGCTCGGCTCTGACGCCGCGTAGGCGGCTTCGCTTAGGCCAGTGAGCAAGGGGTCTACGGACAGACCCGTATCATCAGAGCCCTCAAAGCCCTCCTCCTCTCCCCCATGCTCATCCCGCCACCGCATCCGCCTCATCATCGTCATAATCTGAACCAGCATCGTCATAGTCCGCCGGACCCCTTGGAGGCCAGCAGGCTGCGAAGAGTAGTTTTCTGCACACTGCAGCAGTTCCAATCCGAATGTCATATATAACACAAATCAACATTGCTCAACGTTCCACGGATGGAAAATTGAAGAACGCGCGACTCCCACCTGCCAGAAACAAACCCGCTGACACCTCCGAACGGCATCCTTCGAAATTGGGTTGGTCCTGCGACTCGTAAGTTACAAAAGATCCGCGCCCCCGAAACAGCAATCCTCTGCAATCTACAGCGGAGGCCAGTCCACAAGTAGAAACCTTCCACAAGAAACCCAACCCTGAGGCCCCAGGACGTCCATCGATGTTTGGTGTGGGCACGCCACGCTCTCCTGGGCACACCATCGAAACCCGAGAAGCCCAGGGCACCCTGGAGGAAAGCAGGGTGCTTCATGGCACGGGCCTCCACTGTACCCCGCAAACGCGCTCCACAGGCCACACTCCCGCCGTGATCTGCAACGAGCTCGCGCGCCCGAGGCCACAACACCTTGCAAACTGCAGCGTGCTCGCGCTCCCGAGGCCGCACTTCCGCGCGGACGACTGAGAGATCGTGCCCGCGAGGCCACGGCTATGGCAAGCATGTGCAGTCTGCTCGCGCTCCCAGGGCCACAGCAGCCTGCAAATGACGGCGCGCCCGCGCTTCTGAAGCCCCCCTGCCTTCAAAACGTGGCCACGCTCGCGCTCCCATCGCCGCAGACCATCAAGTGACCCCACGCTCGCGGCCCCCAGGCCGCACTCCATCGTAAATTGCAACACGGTCGCGCTCTCTGGCCCACCATCGGGCGTCCGGGCCCGCAGGCCCCCGTAGATTAGGAGACCCTCGCGCCCATGAGGCCACAGTGTGTGAAGCCTGCTACGCGCTCGGGCTCCCGCGGCCATGCTCCTGTCTGTAAATTACGTCATGCTCGCGCTCCCGAAGAACTCCCCCGTAGTTCACTTTGCCATACCACTCCCGAGGCAACGATCCCTAGCACATCACGAAACACTGCAACGCCATCGCGCTCGAGAGGCCACGCCCCCTAGAAAACTGCCACGCGCTCGCGCTCCCGAGACGACGATCCTCTTTCATGGAACAAGACTTTGCACTTAGGGTTTCTTGCTGGTGCTCTGACACACATCCGTCCCTCCTCGAAATCAAACGCAAGTTTTTCCCGCGACGCGGGGGCGCCCTGGGACCCCACGATTCCAATGCTCGCGCGGAAACTGGCGGCTGCAAACAGAGAAATATGACCCCGCGGGCCGCGTTTCGCGCGTCGATTAGCACTAACAATTTGCGCTTAAGTTCATGGAGGGATGTAGCTTTTACCACCACCCAGACTGCCCCGCGCAGGTTGCAGGAAACACTGCTTGGGGCCCTTGGGGCCCACGCTGGCAAACGGGAAAGTGTAACGCGTCTGAACCCCAAGGCCGCAACCCATCGTACATCACAGAATGAACTCGCGCTCCCGAGGCCACAACCCATTTGACTACCTACCAGACCACCCCAACCCAACCCGAAGACCCGAATTTCGGGTTGGGGGGGGTACGGGTTCCATATGTGCTTTTGCAATGTTCCCCGAACCCCCCCCAACTGGAAATGGAGGGCAAATCGAAGCCTTCGGGTTGGGTTGGGGTGGTTTGGTGGGCGGTGACCATTATAGGTTGCAACAACATCGCGATCCACAGGACGCGAACACACCCCACGGAGCTTGCCCCAAAGCACCCCCCCCTCTCCGGAGCAGACAAAATATAGTTCCTGGGATTGACATGTGTTCGGGGCCGTCTTTTGCGCCCTCCCCCCCCCACCACACACACACACACACACACACACCTAGAGAGGAAACACATGCAAGGAACCCCGCGACTAGGCCCGAGTCAGCATCAGGAAGCCCCGAATCAGTCCCACATAGCCTCCAAGACATGCCTGCAAGAAACATTATGAGAGGGCAGCCGGGCGTCCTGTCGACATCTCAGTGCGTTGTATTAATCGCCCGCTGCCCTGGCACAATTTACCAGCCTGGAACATATCCCTATCCCTATGCTGGGCATCGCCTCATCACGATGCCAATCTTAGGGATTCCCTGATTGTTTGAGGGCGGATCCCTAAGATTGTCATCGCCCTTTGGCGCGTCAATCTATAGGGATAGTGATAAGTTCGAGGCTGGTAGACAATCTCCCAACCTCTCTTCAAGATGGCACCCAACACATCCCAATATAGCGCTGATTTGGTCCACGATGGCAACATATGTGGGGGGCCAACGATAGAGGACGAAACCATTGCGGATACTGCACGTCATCATCGTAATCGTCTTTTCAATTTGCCACAAGCCCAAGACGGCCCAAGAGACCCCCATTACCCGCTTTAAGATAATGAAAAAAATTTCAACAACGTCCCGATGTGGCCCCAAGGGCCCCGAATATTGCCCGACAGAACCTGAACAACTGGCCCAAGATGAGAAACTCGAGCTAACCTCGGGCGTCGAGAGAACTTCCCTGCCAAATGGCCTCAGGAACCACAAACGTGCAGGTAAGAAACCGCTTTGGGCGCCTGACAGCCCAAGCGTCTTTTTCTTTACAATCTCGCTGTTTCCGTCGTTCACTCAGATCTGCGCCAACTCGTGTGCGCGGCGCCCCGTGTCCCAATCACGCCGCCAAACGCACACTACACAAGCACGCGAATGCCCAACCAGCGCGGGGAGCCCCCGCATCAATCGAATGCAGACGCTCTTTCACAACAGTGCCTGAAAAAAGAGGCCCCCGCCCTTTGTGACTCCGGACGCCGGGCCTGGTGCCGCGAAGCGTTGTAAATCAGAACCAGCAACAGCATCGCAGTCATCATCGGCAACATCGGCATCACAATCCAAGGCAGCATCATCATCATCATCATCATCATCATCATCATCATCATCATCATCATCATCATCATCATCCTCATCATCATCATCATCATCATCATCATCACCCTCATCACCACGACCACGATCAGCATCATCAACATCATCCCCATCCCCATCCCCATCCTCATCCCCATTTCTTATCCCCGTCATCATCATCATCATCATAATGGAATACGTGCTACCTTCTTTCACATAACCAAACGGTTGTGTATACATCACTGACCTAAATGTCTCGTCCGACCACCCAATGCTAATTATACACTGCTGCATGTCTACATGAACAGTCTGATCACCCGACCCTGGGCCCAGGCAACAAAATGCGGCCATCTCGGAAGATTGCATCAGACAGATGGTAGCGCAGCGGTGGCCACGGACCGACGCCAGAAAACTCGGTTCAGGCCACAAGCCCCTTCTGCGCCACAGCCCTGGTGGAGTCGAAAAACAAACCCGCCGCCGTCGTCAGAGGGTCGGCGTCCGAACTATCACGATACGGACGCCCCCGCTCGCCACTCGATCTTGTAACCATAATGACGCGCGTTGACGTGTCTCTGCCTGCCCAGACGTCGCCGACATGCGAATCCCTTCGCTGCCGCGCAGTCCGTTTTCACCTTCAAGCAAGTCGCAGACGATAGTCCCCGGTCTGTCATCAAGGGTTCTACGCCCAAGGCATGGGCACCACCCTTCGCTGCGGCATAGTATTCGCTGCCGCGGATGTTCAACACGATGGCGATATGCAGGGATGATCTGCTCTTGCGCAAGTGCTTCCCAAAGAAGAAAACCATCCCGCTGGTGCTCTTCCTGGCGATGATGTCCCCAGCGTGGCCCGCATCAACCCAAACGTCTAGCGAGGCTGGCATCGCCTGCTTCGGAAACTTTAGGATCGTTCTGGGACGTCCCAGGACGTAAACCCCAAGACGCTTCAGCTCAGAAATGGAATTCGCTGGGGTTCTTCGCGCTTTGTGCGAGACATGTCACTGCATCCTGGATGCCCAGCCGGCCTTGTCCAAAATTGCTTGTTCGCATGACGCAAGAAAAATGCAGTGTAGCCTCCGTTCTCGAATGTACTCGTGTCTGTGCGCGCTCCCATGCACCTGGCCCAGAATTCTTCGCACGTGGCGCATCTACAGACTTGGCCTTTCCTAAATTCAAGTCTCGCGCAAGAAACTCTGCGCGCCTGGCCTCATTCGACCTCGACGCCGCCCTCCGCGACGCGGACAGTCCGCTTCAAGATGCGCGCCTCCTGCGAGTCACCTGCTTCCGCGCCAAGCGTTGCCATGCGATTACAAGCGAACTTAGAAGTCAACAACGCGTCCATTTCCGCGATGTAACGCCGATCACACAAGAAACTCCGTGGACGAAAAGCCTCGAACCATCAAACGGGTTGTGGAAATTTGGTGGTTCGTTTTCCCCAGAACGCAACCACTCAAAAGGTCGGCGTAGTTCTTCTGCCTCGAGCGCCTTGCGTCCTGAGCCCCGTCCAACCGCTCGCACTTCGACATGACATGCGCCCGTGAGATGCCCCAGAACGCTCGATTGCGCTCGGCGCCCCTGGAACTCCGCCGTCGCGTCGCCTGGACACTATGCTGCGTGTGGTGGTTATGATGATGGGGCGTGGTGAATGACGGGGGAGGATGAGTAGGAACCGGAGCATTACGGCCAGGAGGAGGAAGAGATGAGTCTCAGGAGCAGAATGCAGGAGGACGGAGGAGCATTGGGAGGCCGAGGAGAATGAGGCGGACATCGTGGCGAGAAGTGACTGCGGGGGCCGCACTCTAGCGCGAGATCGAAAGAGCCAGCGACTACGACGGCAAGCCACACAGGCCCGCCGCCGCGAACTCCGTCCGAGCCGCGCCCAGAACGATCACGGAGCCGGTCCAACTCTCGCGCCAGATCCGGCTCGATATATAAACACCACCAGCTCAAATGCGCGGCCCGCCGCTCGCGCCGGATCTGGCTCGATCGCCGCCCTCAATTCCAGCGCGTGGACTACATCTCGCTCCAGACGCGGCTCGATAGTCACCCCAAGTTCCGCTACGCGACCCGGTTCCACGCGCACCGGCCCACGGCCCCAACATGTCGCACAACTCTCGCGCCGAATCCGCGACGGAATCACGCCGAGGTGCATTATGCAATCCGGCTCGCGTGTCAGCCGCACGACGGCGGTGACACTGATGCTGGCGATCTTGAATATTGATGAGGATAACGATGGTAGGGACGATCACCTTCGTCCCCAGCTTCATCGCCCCGCCAATCCCCGCCGTCGCGACGACTTTCGAAAGGACATTCCGTGACGGACGCGCTTCCAGCGGAAAAGCGCGTCCGCGGATTGCCGCGCGCATCGGAATCGTCGCTGGTGATGTCCATGAGACGGCATACATCGAAACCAAGCATATCCTGACCTCCTCCGCGTTCAAGATCACGTTCATGTTCCTCTCCTTCCTGTTCAACGGAACGGAGGGGACGTCGGTTACGATCCTTGTTCTTGTCACCCTTGCAGTCGGACTTGCCCCCCTTGGATCCCGAGCCTCGCGCTTTGCCTATGGGGTCCTTACCCTTGGAATCCTTGCCTTTGCCTTGGGGGTCGTTTTTGATGTCCGGCCCTTGCCGTCTTGGGGAGCCATCCGGCAGTCGGAGCCACGATGGCCACATCCCCCACAATTTTAGCAATAACCATCAAGACCTCTGTCTGACTTGCCCTTGCCGCCTTGCCCTTGGGGCGGCGCTGGACAGACCCCATGTCCACGTCCACGTCGTTGCCGCGGTCACGATTGCGATCGCGTTGTTGAACCTGTGGGGCGCGAATATTGGTTCCGCGCCGCGCCCCCGCGCAACGTACGATCTCGGTCCTCATGTCCATGTACGCGTCGAACCTCGCGGCGTTCTCTTGCACATGCGTCGCCAGCTCCCGCGGGGCCACGCTCTCGAGGTCAGCCAGTTTTATGCTCACTGGTAGAATTCGGGCCTCTCCCCGGGACGTCTTGGAGCGTTCGTACGTGGTGGCCAGCTCCCCCCAGCGCTCCACGCCTCCAGCAATAACATCCACGGAACACCTCCCAGGGTCTGATGACCTGTCTAAGTGAGTTACGAGCCCGGCCACCAGTAAGTGGGTCAAATCGTCTGCTAAACTTCCGCAAGGATTCCATCTCAATGGACCCAGAGGTGCAAACGATGTCGTTGGCCTCGCTCTCTGTGATCGGGACCAACATGCTGTGCACCTGGTGGGACTTACCCAAACACTCGTCAATGTTGTTGGTGGGATCCCCAGTGTCGCCGAAAACATGTAGCAGTGCGTCGTTGGTGATGGTCCCCTTGGTCTCGATGGCCCAGTCCAACACGTCGTCCAAAGACCAGTGCACACTCACGATGAAGTTCTGGGTGTGCCTCTGCCACACACCGAACATCTTCTCTAGCGCCGTCTCCTCCAAACAATGGGCTTGCATATACCCTTGGTGACCACAAAGGACAACGACCCACTTCGAAGCCATCTTGTCGATCGACGTTGCCAGGCGCTCGATCACCTGCGTCTTGGTCTGTTCACCGAAAAATTGACACGTCGTTCTGGACGTTCCAGCGTCGCCTGAAGCTGTTGCACGATCTGCTCCATTGTGTGATACTTTACCTGAGCGTTGAACTCTACCTTACTGTCGAACTCAACCTTAGTGTTGGAATCTGGCTCAAGCCGTTCCCGAAGTTACCAAACATATCGAAACACTGAGTTGCTTACATTTCTTCCCATTGAACCAAACGGATATAGATACATCCCTGACCTACCTGCCTCTTCATACCATCCCCTGCGAATGATACACTGTTGCATGTCTACATGAGCACTTTGATCACATCAGCAGCATCAGCATCAGCATCAGCATCATCAGCAGCATCATCAGCATCGCCATCCTCATCATATCAGCATGAGCATCACTAGCATCATCATCAACATCCTCACCATCATCATTGACGTCATCAGAATCACCATCGTCATAATCAGCATCAGCATCATCAGCATCATCATCAGCATCATCGTCGTCAGAATCAGCAGCATCAACATCAGCAGCATCATTACCATCCTCATCATCACCAGCATCACCATCATTATCAGCCTTATGCTGATCCTCATCCTCATCCTCATCCTCATCCTCATCATCAGCACCACCAGCATCATCATCAGCATCATTACCCTCATAATCGTCATCATGATAATCAGCATCGTCGTCATAATCATCAGCAGCATCATCAGCATCATCATCCGCACCATCATCGTAATCATCATCGTCAGAATCAGCATCATCATCACCTGCGTCATCATCATCATCATCATCATCATCATCATCATCATCACCATCATCACCATCATCACCATCATCACCATCATCATCAGCCTCATGCTGATCCTTGTCCTCATCCTCATCCTCCATCATCGTTATGCTTCCTCCTCCTGCTCCTGCTGCTCCCCCTCCCCCCCACGTCGGAGACCGCGCCGGCTCCCGGGGGACGCCTCGGTGAACGAGACGTAGCTCGGAGTGATGCGGTTCCCCTGGTCGTTCGGGATGATCTCGACGCCGCCTCGGCTGCGGCGCGGGGACTCGAGAGAGCGGCTGAGGCATCGGCCCGACGGGCGGCGGGCGGCGGGGGGGGGTGATGTATCTAATCGTGGGAGGTCTCAGGAGGAGGACGACGAGGCGGAGGAGCAAGGAGGAGGGACCAGCGTAAACCCAAGAGACATCAACGATGTTGGAAGAAATCCTCCCTCCAAACTCCCTCTTCATAGGCCCTTCACCGGGGAACTGCCTCGTTGAAAGACAACCGTTTGAAGACCCTGGGGCATACGTGACTGTTGCGTGTTGACGACCCTGAACCGCGCCAGAACGCCATTGAAGGGACTTCACTACCGCGAATCAACGTAACAGTTGCACCCTCATAATCCTGAGTCTGTCCATAACGCCATCTTAGGTACGTTGCATTCTAGGTACGTTAAACATGGGAACCCGTGAAACTTCTACCATATTTCAAGAGGAGTGCGCACGGCGCTATAGCGAGAGAACCATGTTTTGACGACGTGAAACTTTTGTAATTTTTATGACGAGTGCGCGCGGCGCTAGAGCGCGCGCCACGTTTTGAAAACAACCCACCCTTAATCCGTGAAGCTCTTGTAAATTGTATCACGAATGCTCGCGGCGCTAAGGCGAGAACCACATCTTGAAAACGACCCGCACTCAATCCGTGAAGATCTTGCAGGCTTTTAGAACGAATGTGCGCGGCGCTAGCTCGAGAGCCACATTTTGAAACTGACCCGCCCTCAATCCGTGAAGCTCTTGTATGTGTTCAAAACGAATGTGCGCGGCGCTCAGAGGAATGCCACACTTTGAAAACCACCCGCCCTCCATATATGAAACTATTGCCACTGTTGCAGCTTCAGGGTCATAAGTGGTGAAAAGATTTCAGGCGAAACGCCCGGTCCGCCCTAAAAACTGTCATCGGGGTGCGACAGGGAGAGGTTGCATATAAGGATAAGGAATGGAGGAAGAGGAGGGGGAGGCCATCCACCCCACTCCCCTCCCTGGCTGTTTGGGTTAACCCGAAGGGCGGCGGTCGCATCCTTCAGCACGCATACAGTGGAGGCCAATTCACAAGAAACCTCCCGCAAGAAACCCAACCCTGAAACTCGGGAAATCCATCGATTTGTGGTGTGGAAATGTCACGCTTTCCATGGCAAACCATCGAACCCAAGAAGCCCAGGGCACCCACGAGGAGCTTGGTATCCATTGTAGGCTTTTAATGAAGCTGCCCTGACCCGAGGAGTCCCCCCGCGATGGAAGAACTTCTAACACCGACCTCTGCGCCTCCAGACGGGCAGGTCCGGGGCTGCCCGCTGTGCCCGGCCAGGGCCGAAAGCGAGGGGGTGGTGACCGCCAGGAGTGGGATGAAGCGGAGGCCAAGATTGGCCCCTTGGAGCGAGGAGGACGAACCGCCCGACGCGCGTGCACGCCAGCGTTTCCCTATTCGGCGTTTCGACGCTGGGCGGAGGGGGGGGGAATGGCTCCGGATTTCTGCTCAAAGCAACTATTTGCAACACTGGTCATGGCAGGGAGATTCGATTCCACCTGCTCAAAACGGGCGCCAAAAACAGCCAAGATCTACTCCATAGGGGGGGGAAGGGGGGGGGATGCGGGAGCCCGCGCCGATCAGCAAAAAAAATAAAGAAAACGATCACCATCGGGAACGCGCCGCACGGCTGTCCAATTGCTGGATCACGCTCCGCGAGTTGGTTGGGGGGAGTGGCAAACACAGAATTTGAACCCCAATGGCAAAACGTGCCATCCAAACTTACGCTGGCGCTGTAGCATTTCGGGCACGCTCTGTCACGAGCTGTAAGTCGCCGTAAAAACTTGGAAAAGCGGCTACGTTCATCCAATCGAAGGGAAACACAACGGCATACCCGTGATATTGAAACCCTGGGGGGGAAAAAGTTCGGGGTCGGGGGGGGATAATGAGCGATTTTACCGGCGGGGGATGATGGCAATGATGCTGATGATGATGACGATGATGAAGATGATCCTGGGCGCTCGTGTAACTAGATCCTCGCAAAAAAAACATATCCTCGGTGTCCTCGAGTCTCGAACTTAAATGTGGTCCGCGCAGGAGAGGTCCTTGGCCAAGAGTAATAGGAATAGTAGTAGTAGTAGTCGTAGTAGTAATAGTAATAGTAGTAGTAGTAGGAGTAGAAGTAAGAGTAAGACTAAGAGTAGTAGTAGTAGTAGTAGTAGTAGTTGTAGTAGTGGTCATAGTAGAAGTAGTAGTAGTAGTAGTAGTAGTCGTAGTCGTAGTCGTAGTCGTAGTCGTAGTCGTAGTCGTAGTCGAAGTCGTAGCCGTAGTAGTAGTAGTAGTAGTAGTAGTAGTAGTAGTAGTAGTAGCAGCAGTAGCAGTAGCAGTAGTAGTAGTAGTAGCAGTAGTATGCAGTAGTAGGTGGAAGAAGTAGTAGTAGTAGTACTGAAGTAGTAAAAGGAATAGTAGTAGTAATAATAGTAGTAGTAGTAGGAGTAGTAGTAGTAGTGGTAGTAGTAGTAGTAATAGCAGAAGCAGTCGCAATAGCAGCAGTAGTAGTAGTAGTAGTAGTAGTAGTAGTAGTAGCAGTAGTAATAGTAGTAGTACGTAGTAGTAGTACGTAGTAGTAGTAGTAGTACGTAGTAGTAGTAGTAGTAGTAGTAGTAGTAGTAGTAGTAGTAGTAGTAGTAGTAGTAGTAGTAGTAGTGTTAGTAGTAGTATTAGTTGTAGTTGTAGTGGTAGTAGTAGTAGTAGTCGTCGTCGTCGTAGTCGTAGTCGTAGTGGTAAAGTAATAGTAGTAATAGTAGTAGTAGTCGTAGTAGTAGTAGTAGTAGTAGTAGTAGTAGTAGTAGCAGTAGTAGTCGTAGTCGTAGTAGTAGTAGTAGTAGTAGTAGTAGTAGTAGTAGTAGTAGTAGTAGTAGTAGTGGTAGTAGTAGTAGTAGTAGTAGTAGTAGTAGTAGTAGTGGTAGTAGTAGTAGTCGTAGTAATAGTGGTAGTGGTAGTAGAAGTAGTAGTAGCAGTAGTAGGAATAGGGGTAGAGGTAGTGGTGGTAGTAGTGGTGGTAGTAGTGGTGGTAGTAGTGGTCGTAGTAGTAGTAGTAGTAGTAGTAGTAGTAGTAGTAGTAGTAGTAGTAGTTATATAAATCGTAGTAGAAGTAGTGGTAGTAGTAGTGGTAGTAGTAGTAGTAGTAGTAATAATAATACTAATAGTGGTAGTAGTAGCAGTAGTAGTAGTAGTAGTAGTAGTAGTAGTAGTAGTAGTAGTAGTAGTACGAGTGGTAAGAGTAGCGGCGGTAGAACGGTAGGAGAAGTAAGAAAGCGGAGGGAGGCCCCAGGACTGCTTTTCCAAAAATTATTGGATTCGGGACCTGGAGTTTTTATTCGTAAAACCTAATTCTTCTGAACCGTTCTCAATCCCACATGCGGAGTAGGAGTCCATGGTGGGCAGGTGGCGGCGATTATATATACATAAATATGACGCGAACAAAAAGTTCGGAGGTCCGGGGGGAAGACGAGGGAGGAGGAGAAGCAGGAGGAAGAGGAGGCCCAGAGGCCCGACGAGCTCAACTGCTTTGTCGGTGTCCTCGCGGTAGCTCGTTCCATCGGAGCCTCGCTGCAAAGCTGCTCTGGCTCGAAGCACAAATCCTCGAGCCAACTTCGATTCGCAACCTCCCCCCGCGATAATCAAGCTCGACCTCGCCGCCCCTCTCCACAATCAAATCTGTCCTCAGGGGTTAAGGGGGGGATACTCTTCATTATCCGGGGGAAGCTGTTGCATCGGCTGAAGGCGGCATAGGCCCGAGCCCCAGCCCGAGACTGGAGGACGCAGGAGCCCAGCGAACCTGACCCCGAGCCCGCGCCCGAGCCTGAGAGATGAGCCCACCGCCCAGAGCACGAGCCCGGGCCTGGAACTAGGGCAACTGGCGCCCGCTCCCGAGGCCGCGCCCACGCCCGGGCCCCTGCACAGGCCGGAGCCCGAGCCGGAGCCAGAGCCGACTGAGCCCGAGGGAGCCCGAGCCCGAGAGCAGGAGCCCAAGCCCTAGTCTGAGCCCGCCCCATAAGCCCGAGGCCGAGCCAGAGGCCGAGCCCGAGCCGCTCACGGACGTCAGGCAGATGCAGCATGTCGACAGCGGCAGGCCGCCAGCCGCCAAGGAGCCGACGCGCCCGGGGGCCGACCCGATGCGCGCACGGGCGCTGGGCTTCGACTTGCGGCGCCGCACTTGGGAGGGTGCCTGCTTGCAGCCGCCACTCGTGGAGAGGCGGTGTAAGGCAGTGGGCTTCTTGCCATCGGTCGGGCGCCCTTTCCCCGTGCCCGGTTCGATCTCGTGCGCTTCGTTTGCCCTGGATGGCCCAAGGTAGCCGCAGGCGGCTCAGCTGTTCTGGCGCCGGCCTCGCCGAAGCAAATGCTGAAGGGGCCCCAGGACACACAAATAAATACAGACAAAAAAAATGTTCCCCATATTTTCCCATATGTTCTGGGTTTCTGTCTTCCCCCCCATTTCCCATATTTTCCCATATTTTCTGGAGAGTCGACGATTAACTGTGTCTGTGTGTTTTTTCCGCTCCTGATTTGTGAGGCATCGGCAGGTCGGAAAACTGGAGCATATACATTACCAGTGGCGGGCTGTTCTTCAATCCCAGGACTTCTTGAGGGTCGGGGACGACGTCGGGGTGGTGTGCTGTACACTTGCTTCCCCGTTTCCCCCCAGGGAAGCAGCGACAAATGTATACACTGGGGTCCCGCATACACCAGGATCCGCTTTCCTATGCAAATTCTTCGGCTGGGCAAGAAAACGCCGCGGTGCATATATAGAGCTCGGCTCCCTCGCAGGTTCTGCCGGGGCGACGGTCAGGAAGCAGCTCCGTGCAATCGGATGAGCTCGCGGTGTCTCCGAGGGGCCCCGCTTCGAGCGGCTCGCCTGTGGTCGGCGCGAGCAGCGCCTAGGACTACGTCGAGCGTAGGGCTTCACCTACCCAGTTGATGGAGTCGCACCTCTGCTCGTAGGTCTCCTCAACGCTGGGGTGGGCCAGGGCCCGAACAACATCTATGAGTGAGGGCGCAGCACGCCTCTCGGCGCGGGCGAAAAAAACAGCCCCCCATACTCCAGCGCACCAGTGTGTGTGCCCCTGGCGAACTCTGGGGCCCAGCGCCGCCCTGATCGGACACGGAGCAGGAGATCTCAAACGAAGACCTGCAAGCTCGGAGGAAGCCTAGACGCGTGGAGGGCGGCCGGGCGCTCCGCTCTTCCCACCGCGTGGACAGGTCCAGCGACATCCCCTCGGGGATGGACAGACCTCCCTTTAGTAAAACGTGGTTTAGTGAAAACGCCCTTGGGCCCAAACCTGGCAGACGCAACCCTGGAAAATAACGCCCTCGGCGCCCTCTCGAAAACCGAAAACGGACAATTCACTAATCGACGTGTCACTGTTGGGGGTTCTGTCCGCCCCCGATCCGCTCTTCCCACCGCGTGGACAGGTCCAGCGACATCCCCAAACCAGGCTCGCACGGAAGAGAGTCCGGCGTCAACCTGCACAGGCAGCGAAGATCCTCGGGCAATGCCGCCCCCGAGCGCCACAGAATCTCGGGCGCCACGCGCATCCCCCCCTCCCACACAGACGGGCTCCCTGGCGGCGGAAGGAGAGGCACTGACCTGACAACCCAGGAGCTGCACAGCGAATGTATAAGGTGGTATATACGCAGGGCATCCCAGCTCGTGGCGCGTGGCAAGTGCGCGAAGCGCTGCACGATACGATGCGAATTCGTCTGTCGGAACTTGACGCTTGACCAACATTCTCCACGTGGCTCGAGCAGCAATGGGACATCAATTCACGCGCGCCCATGACTGCCGTCTGGAGACCGACGCGCACTGGCCATCGCTCGGACGTCCGTTCCCCGTGTTTTTTGCTCGGTTTCGTGCGTGGTTCTTTCGCCAGATGTTGAAGGATGCTCCCCTCGGAAGCCGGGCAAGGGCAGCTAAATCCGTGGCTGCTAAAATCGACCTCCAGAAAATTGTCTTCGTCCTTCCGGGAAGAAACCCGTTGACCGTTTCGCGTGCCGCGCCTCATTCCGGGAAGCTGTTTGTTCCTTCCGGGAGGGCCTTTTTCGCAGCCACGGTTTTGGCAGCCCTCGCCCAGCTCCCGATCCTCGATGGTCCTCGCTGGAGGAGAAATGCACGCGTCCGAGCGATGCCACGCGCGCTGCGGGAGGGCACGATATGCGTTTGCCCCACGCTCTCCGCGCCGCCGCCGGCGGCGCACCCGTCGGCCTGGAGCAAGCCGAGCACCTGCGGGGCGCCGATCACGATCTGCTGCGGGGGGGGGGCCCTTCGGGCCCTCCGCGTAATTAGCGCCCTCTCTCTGCACGGCGCCGGCGGCGTCCTCGCTCTGCGGCAGCGCACCGACCAGCCTGCGCGTCCGCCAGCTCTCGGCAGCGGCCTCGAGGAGGTGCACAGCGCGATCTCTGAACATCTTCGGGTGTGGAGTTCTATAGGATGGAAGGCTGGTGCTTATACATGTCCACGGTCGGTTCAATCGACCAGGTTTGCGGCCACCGTGCTTCTGACAGCGCCCGAGGCCCCGCAATCTAGCAGATCGTCCTGACTGCATGCCAGCTGGGGCAGCCCGGCACCAGACCACGAGCTCCGCCCACGCCGCCGCGCCAGCGGTGCGGCGCTGGCCACTCCCAGCCAGAGCGCCTCCGAGGGCGAGCCGGCATGCGCCCGCGGGCGCGCGCGCGCGCCCCTGCCCAGGCGAAGCCCGACCGTGCACGCGGTGCCAACTCCACCCGGCCACGGCGAACATCATTCAGACGTTCACGTTCGTGCCCCATCGCGTTCAGTTGACACAAGGCCTTAACCATGCCCCAGATGCGTGCCATGCTCACGA